TTGATTTCACATTACACCTAATTTTATGATCTGCAGGGATGCGGCAACATCGCGAGGCGCAGTGTATAAATTATCTCATAAATAAATCAACACAAACTCAAATTTTTTTAAACCAACGATCTAATCTAATCAATGTATCCAAACTATCATCTACATAAGAAAACTCATCTTCACTTTTGACACATTTTATTGATATAAATTATCATAACATACTGTATATTGATTAATTTTGTTGACGAAATGACAAATAAGATGGGTGGCGCTTCGCCCACTCATTGAATTAGTATGTTATATAAAAAAATTAAAAAAATTAAGATTTTTTAAAAAATTGTTTATAACTATAAATCTTTATTATAAAACCATTTTTTGTTTACTAATAAAAAATATTTTTTGACTAATTTTGACATATAATTTGTCAATTTTAAAATTTAATTATAACTTCAATTTATAAATATTTGTCATTAATTTTGTAATTTTTCTTTTAAAAATTTTTATTAGCTATTAAAAAATATAATAAAATTTAAATATTATTAAGATTAACATAATCTAAATTAAATTACAAAATCAAATCTACTGTATATTTTAAATATATTTAAAAAATTATTAGTTTCTGTAAAGTTCTTTCTTGAGATTGAAAATTGCCAGTAAAAATTTGCATTATCCATTTTTTCATTGGTTTCATAATTTTGTTATATAAGATCCTGTGGTTTATTAATTCTAATCAATAATTGAAATTTTAAAAGTCAAATTTCGCTTGAATAAAGAGTACTGTATAGAAATGGCCATGGTGCAATCTAATCAAGCCTGGTATCAATTCTGTTATCATTTTCGTCGAAGAGAATACTAGTTATTTATTTGAAGATATTTGTTGTGCTCTTAAGGAGCATAAAAGTATGCATTATTAACTTTAATATGACATAATTTGATTAATAATAACTAAAGAAAACAGAAGAAACAGCAAGAAATATTATAGCGAAATAAAAAAACAAACCAAAAAGAACTATATAAAAATTTTACATGCTACTTGCTCTTTAGATATTTAACTACATACATTAGAGTAATATTTATGCTTATAATGTGAAAAGTTAGATAATAAATAAATAAATAGTTACAAAGATTAAAAAATATAATTATGCATGACCATATTTATGGGAACGGAACTCCGGATGAAAATGCATCTACATCTTCGATGAATGGATTCACTAGGTCATTATATTGTTGTTGTATGGTGGTACAAGTACTATTTACTGTGGTTTGAGGTCGAAGATCTATAAATTAAATAAATTAATTGATATAATCAATTATTATATTTCTTTAATATATGGTAATTGAACTACAGTTTGTTGTATTGAAAATATACCTGGTCACAGTGTTGAAATTTGATTATAGTAGAAATTTATATTACTTATATCAATACCATTAATTTTACTTTCAGTAGAGATATCTATATATTTCCAGTCAAAACCAGATGATATAATTTTATTATCTTTAAATAAACCTATCATGTCCATTTTATCATCTATAAATATACGGGTCTTAGGTATTTTATCATCTTTGGTTGCTTTTGATAATTCTAAAATATATTAAACAAATTATTATAAATTTATTATAATATATTACTTTTGCTAATTTTTACTTATAATCATTGAAATATACCTGGTCTAGTTTTATTATCATTGTTACAGTAATAATTGTTATTATTGATATTACTATTGTTACTAAAAGTTTGTTTTTCAAAATTTTGATTTTCAAAATTTTGGTTTTCAAAACTTTGATTATTATTATGATTATAATTATTAACACATTCATTTTCTTCTTTTTCTTCTTCCTCAGCGAAATTACTGTATCTATCTTCTAAAACTAAAAAAAAATCAAAATAAAATAATATTGTAAATAAATAAATAAATATATATATATACTTACAACGCGCGTTTGTATATTCATTTCTATCCATTTTTTTAAAATTTTGTTATTTTACTATACAGTAGTTCAAAAATTTTAACTTATTAAACGAGCAAAAATTTACATATTTTTTTTTAAATGATTTAAAGTTACACTAATTTAAGTTTCAAAATTCTATTTAAGTTCTATCACACAAAATTTAGCCAATACTGTATAATTAATAATTAATACAAAGATGTATGGGCAAAGTAATTTTGTAAGTAATAATGATTGAGTAAATTTGATACTAAAAATAGAATTATCGTAAAATTATTTATTAAGTAATATTAGGTAAGAATACATCCATTCCTAATTCAAGGCTTTATTTATTTGAGCCAGTAAACAAACTCCTAAAAAAAGATGGCTAAGGCGGAGTGAGTACGTACAATGCAGGAAATTTAAAAACCTCAATATTCTATGTAGAGATAATGCATAAACTAGTAACACATCGAAAATAAATTTTCTGAATTATCGATCTCAATAAGTGAAGGAAATCTCTTTGCATAAAGAAAATAAGCAAAAAAGCAATACATATGCAAAGAACATACTATTGAGAATGACAAATTTAGTTTATTTTCAATGAGTTAGTTAACCTTTATTCTATATAAAATGATTGAAGTTTTTAGGTTTCCTGTACCGTACGAACGTACATTTTTTGATATATGATTATTTTTATATATACAAGTAATTGTGAGGCACCGCTAGGCCCCTTTTGTGATTCAAATTATGTTATCGCTGTGTATCTATTATTAATTCTTATAAATGCCAATTTATGGTTCTTATAACTCGATTGTCTAACAAAAAAAACTCTTTCCGCTGATTCTCTGTTCCAAATTTAGAACTAAGAAAAAACAGTAAAATTTACAAAAACGAGTTAACAAACAGCTAAAATCCTTCTA